GCACTCCCCGAGCGCGTGACAAGCGCCCTGCGCCGCCCGCGCAGACACAGCCCAAAAAGGCAGCGCGAAAAGGCAAAGGGAAAGGTACCGCCAAGAAACTCACACTGAGCAGCGACTGGATACAATCGTACCAGGGCAAGGAGGTGTGCAAACGATATCAAGTGGGGAAATGCCAGGCAGAAAACTGCAAGTTCGCCCACATTTGCGCCGTGCCAGGATGTCAAAAGCCTCACCCTGCCAAGGACCATCCAAATCACACCTGACAAGGTCCGAGCCAGTCAGCGGCCGCTGACCCGGACTGGCATCGTGCAGCCGCACCCATGCAAACCCCCAATTCAGGTCAAGAACAGGAAGGGCCCGCGCACTGCCCAGCCATGCAGCCCAGCCCCGCAGGGTTTTTTCCTGGATGTCTTTGCAGGCCGATGCCACCCCGTGACAGCCGCCGTGCAAAGGCTCAGCAAGGCATGTTTTGAACCTTTCGACCTCGACGGCAATGCCCAACACGATATCCTGCACGACCCCACTTTCGAAGTCCTCCTACGACTTGCGTGGTCCGGCTTGGTTAAGTTCGTCATGATTGCACCGCCGTGCAAAGAGTATAGCAGACTAAAACTCAAGCCAGGGGGACCTCGACCCCTACGCACGCCAAAATTTATGCAAGGCGTGCCCAACTTGCCGCCGCACCTGCAACAACGGGTTAAAGACAGCAGAGAGATCCACGCCCGTGGACGTGCTATCTTCGAAGCAGTCGTAGCCAAAGGAGGCATTGCCATTCTGGAACAGCCCCCTTCGTCAATGGCCTGGCTGGAACCCGAAAACTTCGCTATGCTGCAGCAATGCCATGCACATATGGCCTGGGTGGCCGCCTGCCGCCACCATCTAGACATAGCCAAGTCCTGGTCTTTTGCCAGCAACTGTCCAAAAATCCAGCAGCTGGCGGCCCAATGCGGCATGCAAAGCCACACCCCAGCTTCGCAGAAGTTAAGGTGAACGGCGTCTGGGCCAGCGCACTCACAGCAGAGTACCCCCCGTCCTTGGCCATGGCCATAGCCCAAGTCGGGGAACACAAAGTCTCACCATCAGACCTCGTCCCCTGCCGCTGCCAGGGGACTACGCCCCGCAGGGCTCGCTGACGCCAACCCTTCACGCATGCCGCCTACGCGTGTGACGGAGCAGGCGCGCACTCTACTGCGGATTGGAGCATACCACATCCAGGCCACCCTCTACAGCCAGTCGCACAGGCATGGCTGCAGTGGGCAAAGAACCATGATGTGGTGCCACGCATTGTGGCCCATCGTTCAGGCACGCCCAGAACCCCCTCTCTCGCAAGAAGAGGGGATCGAATGCGCCATGCTCGCTTTCAAGGCATTGAACTCAGCACCGCCCGAATGCTGGGAGCACCCAGGCCAGCCATATCGGCTGCGCCTGCTACAGGCCATGGGAGTCGCTTCCAGCGACCCAGATATGGCGTTGCTGCCGCTGCTGGAAACAGGTGTGCCGACAGGGGCCATCTCACCGTTGCCACGCAGCTTTCAGTGGCCCCTCAAGGCAAACTCAGAAAGCGCAGCGCCGCCCTTTGAAATCTGCGACCAAAATTGGAAAAACGCCGAATCCGAACCAGAGGTAGTTAAAGCTCTTTTGGAAAAAGAGATCGCTAGCGGATGGGTAGTCCGCGCACACTGCGCCGAAACCGAAGCTCATGTACGCTGGCCAAAGGGAGTGGCCGTGGGAAAGCTTAACGTTGTCTTTGCAGACAATAAAGAGCCACGCCTTGTCTTGGATAGCACGGTGTGCAACGTGAACCCACGGTGCCACTTGCCAGAACAAGTAAGCCTCCCAATGGCCTCAGATTTGTGCCTTGCCACGCACTGCAAAGACGCGCGCAGCGCCTTCGCAAAGCCGCGCGCAAACAAATTCAAGTTCACCCTGACGAGCATGGCCTTTTGCTCTTCAAATTTCAGGGCGAACTTTACCATTACCGCGTATGCCACTTTGGTGGCCGCTTCTCCGCTTTCTGGTGGCAACGGACAGGTGCCTTTATGTTGCGCCTAACGCACGGCCTGCTAGCCATGCTACCACACAAAGCCTGGCTCTTCGTGGATGACTGCCATCATGGCAACTGGTGCGGGTGGTCAGTGCATTTTGGCCACGACGCTATACATTTGATGGAAGCCAAGTTAGACAAGCTGCGTCAGCAGCTGGAAAATTTGAGCCAAGCCCATAAATTACCACGCAAGGCCCTAGAACAATGCCTAGGCCTGCTTATCTGGGCAACTAGCATCTCCAAACATTTGCGGCCTTGGCTTGCCCCGTTGTACTCTGACTTGCATAGCCCTCCAGGGAGCATGTACTCCTGGCAGTCCTTCCTTTCCAGCTTTGGACTCTACGGGTCGCACAACACGAGGACTGTGGATCCCGACACTCGCTAAAGTTATTGAGTGCTCAGGCAAGCCAGTGCGTTGCAGAGCCGACCTGCCCGCCGTGCCAGCGTCGCATAAGCCAACATGGGTTAGAATCTCAGACCCAAACTCACCCACAGTCACCCTACGCAAGGACAGTAAGTTTTGTCTCCATTGGCTGTCGCGGTGCTTTGCTAGTACCCCGACTGTTCCTCTGGCCCTGCCACCATTGTTGCCCTGCCTAGCAGCCGCTGACGCTTGCGCAGAAGGAGACACCGTAGGGATAGGCGGATGGTTCCTCACCAGCAACGCGCTATATAGCATGCTTTGAGACCATTGCCCAATTCGCATTACTACAAATAGCCCATGCAACTTCAGGCCAGGGACACTATCATTTTACGTTGCCATCGGGCACCGATAATTCGGCAACAGAAGCCGACATTAACAAAATGTTCACTACGTCCTGGCCTATGCAGATCTTTTTGCAGCTCATCGCGTCTTGGGCGCATTCGCGCAATGTGGTGTTGCAGCCAACACACATTGCCGGCTCCGCCAATGGGTGGGCCGATGACCTCAGCCGAAACAGGCTGTCACGCTTTGCCAACCAGTCTCAGCACCGGCACCGCTTTACCCCTGAAAATATCAATGACTCGAGCCGACGATTGACACTGCGTCCTGCCGATGCACCGTGGAGACCCGAGCACCGCGCTGCCACAGGGGGATTTCAGCCCACATTGCCTTGCACCGCTGCTTGAGCGCGGCAGAGCACAGGACAAATAGCGCGCCTTTGTCCAGTTACATGAAACTAAAGGCAGCTTGCGCATGCCTTTACATTTTCCCACATGTCGCGACGCCAGGCTCACGCAACCCGCTCTGAAGTGGGGGAGCTTAGCGAAGGCCGGGTTGCGCTGGACACTAAAGAGGGGGTTAATAGAGCCTTCCCTAGCTGAAGCCGTGCACGGCAGTGCGCCGCTCTGCGTCAGCTAGAGACTCCAGCGCAACCCGGTTACAAAAGGAGAGCGCGTCTCGTTCGTATCAAGTGTTGGGTTGTTTTAGGTTGGAGCAGTGCATGTTTCCTATAACGCTAGGGGTTGTTTGTTCCCCCGTGTTATAGGGACATGTGAATCTACACCGCTTGTGGCCATTTCTGCTCCAAGCTAAACAACCATGCGGTTTCCATTTTTGAAACCCACCCACCCTCCCCTCTGACTAAGGCAAGCGGCTTTACTCTTGTGCTCGCACAAGCACATGCGAGCCGCGAGCCTTCAATGTGCCGCAATGATCATTCACTGTGGTTACTAAGGCGCAGGACGTCAACCGCGCGCCACTCAGTGGCTGGTGCCCGGCTCCGCAGGGCCAGGCACCGAGATCAATTGCTCGACGCCGCAGCGTCCAGCAATCCGCACACTAAGGTACATTCACCTCACCATGTCACACCGCTGTGTACAGACCGCTGTTCAGGGCACTTAAGTGCCCTCACATTGGCTTGACAGTCAAGCTAAACTGGCGCCGCAGCGCCAAGCACCGCAGTGCTCCGGGACAACCCTAGGAACCAATCCACGGGACTCCCAGACTAAGGTTCGTTACAACTCCTCGGCACCGCCGTGCGAAGAATCAATCGAGGATTTAACTCCAGCGTGACGCATACGTTTCACCAGGGGGTTAATAGAGCCTTCCCTAGCTGAAGCCGTGCACGGCAGTGCACCGCTTTGCGTCAGCTAGAGACTCCAGCGCAACCCGGTTACAAAAGGAGAGCGCGTCTCGTTCGTATCAAGGGTTGGGTTGTTTTAGGTTGGAGCAGTGCATGTTTCCTATAACGTTTGAGTTGGCAAATGGTGGTATGCAATTTTACACAGCTCAAACAGTAATAGTAATATTTTTTGAATAATTTGAACTATCATTGAACCCACTTGAATTGGCAGGTTCCGTCGTGCCAATGTAAATAGTTTGCATTGGGCTCCGGCTTCAAGTTTTCCCCGTCCCGGAAAATAATTGCATCAGCCGGGAATCTAAATCATACAAATTATTGGAACTAGCAGCGGAGGCTCCGCCAATGTGCCTAATATATAACTTCAATTGGGCAGCACGCAGCCCCTGACAGTTCAAACAATTCAAGTGAGTTGAATATGTGACCGCATATTTGGATTGGCAAATTGTGTGTGCGAATTGAATCAGTTTAATTCATTCACATGATTTACATTACTTAAGATTGGAAAAGGGGTCTGCCGATTCAAGTAGTTAGCTAAATCATTCTGAATTGACTTGAATTGATTTGGCAAATGGGCCTGCTAATTGAAATCACGAGCTCTTAAGTCGGCAAAAGGCTAGCATGGAACCTTTCGGAGGTCTTTCCCCTTGAGCGAACCGTTTGGGCCAGGTGTTAGCCAGTGGTTGCTAATCTAATTGATTTTGACTGAATTGGCAAGATGTGCTTGCTGATTAAAACTGGATGTAAATCGGCAAGAGCTTGCAATTGTCCACAGCTCGCAGGGCACCAAGCAACAAGTGCACGGGCTGGGCAGCTTTGCTTTAAGTTTAATTTTGATCACACCGTCTCCCATTCGTTCAATTCACAAGCAGGTTCAACACTTCACGGCTCCTCGTAGACTTCTTAGGGAGTGCGGGACCAAAGACCGGGGAAGAAGAAACCGTTTTCTTTCAAAGTCTGAAAGAGTTGAATGGACACCTAGAGAGATTTTCCAATGAGAGTTGGAAAAGCCCGCCACCGGGGAGCGGTGGGCCCGGTGGGCGCGGTGGCGCTGTGGGCGTGTTTGGAGCTTGGGGAAACCTGGCGGTCGACGCAGACTGCTCATGGGCGGTTGGCGCTTTGTGACGGCCACATTGTTCCAGGTCGCAGCAAGTCGCGACGATGCCTGTGTGCAAGCAGACCTGCTGTGGCATGGAGTGCGGGAGTCACTGTTCACAGCCACCAGAGTGAGAGCTCCGCCCTACAAAAAAGCTTGGAATCACAGGCTTCTGACAGATTTGGTGCGCCGTGTGCCCAGTGCTGGTGATGGTGCGTGGAGCAGACTCAGTGTCACCACCTGCTCACTGGGGGAAGTAGCTCTTCTGCTTGCAAACTTTTTGCAATCAGGAGACAGGGTTCTCTTGGAAATGGCCTTGATCGCATTGCGGAAGATGCTTGGCTTAAGCTGAATGCCGTTTTTTCCAGCCTTCGTGTTTCGGGTTTTTAGTCGGAGTCCCTGAAAAACCGACCCGCAGGTGGCCGGTGTCTCGCATCATGGCATCCACCTGGCCCATCTTCGGCTTGCTGGCCCACGCCCAAGAGGTGTTGAGGTACGCCGGGGACGACAGCTTCGCCGCGGTGTGCGCTGATGCGGCGCCTCTGGCTCTTGCGCTCACCCGCTGGGCGCATGAGGATGAGGATGAGACTGGTGTGAGTCATGTCCCAGGCAACGGCACGGGGCTCAGGGAGCTGCGTTTGCGCCTGGCCGCGGGCGGAGCATTGGCTTCGAGGTGCCGTTCTGACGTGCGTGCCACTCTGAGCGCCAGAATGTTGGGGCTGCACCATGACGACTACGACTCGCTGCTGCGCCAGGGCTCCTGGCCATGGCTGCTCTTCCGCACCAAGTGGCCGTTGGTGCCGATGCTGCATCGACAGCAGCTGGACGGCCGCGAGGCGGCCTGTTCTCAGGCGTCGCCTGGATCCTATGGGGTGCTGACCCGCGCCTCGCCCGTGAGCATGTGGATGTGCACCACCCGGACGCTCGAGCGGGAGCACCACCGCTGGATCACCGAGGGCCACTTCGACGACTGCACGCACATCGCCCAAACCGCCAAGGCGATTCTCCGAGGCGCGTGCCGCTTCGTGGACGTGGGGGCCAACATGGGCTGCGTCTCGCTGTTCCTGGCGCAGCTGCTGCCATCCTTGGAGGTCTTTGGAGAAAGGAAGCCAGAGGGAACATCAGGTCCTGTTTTGGTAATGGAGGGAACTTAAGGAAACCAAATGAAACCACAAGAATCCAAAGAAACCCAAAGAAGCCAAAAGAAACCAAAAGAAATCAAAAGAAGCCAAAAGAAATCAAAGGAAACCAAAATACATCAATCAAAGGAAGCCAAAAAGAAACGAAGGGAGAGGATCCCTTTTTGGTTCAGATAGGTGGTGTCCGTGGAGCCGAACCCCCGCCTGGCACGACAGCTGCGGGGGGCCGTGGCCAAGAACCAGCTGACTCGGGTCTCGGTGGTGGAAGCCGCGCTGGGCGCGGCCCAAGGCTCCGCGGTACTGAGCTGCCCTGCTGAGAACAGCGGCATCTCGAAGTTGGTCTCTTTCATTTTTGTGGAGAAGGCCCTTTGACTTCTGAAGAGAAGGGTTTCGTTTTGGCACTAGCAAAGAAGCAATTGGTGCAGCCTTCAAGCTTTTTTTTGTAGATCTCCCCTCTCTCCCCCATATGAAGTGAGGCGCGTTTTTGGGTTCAGTTGAGGCATGTGCACGGTGGCCGTGGACCACCCGTCGGCTGCGAAGCAGGAAGTGGAGCAGCTGAGCTTGGATGCCTTGGTGCGCGAGCGACCTCCTGGCTCCGAGTCAAATCTTCCGCTCTGCGGAGTGAAGATCGACGTGGAGGGCAACGAGGAGCGTGGTGGACACATCTTTTTTTTTTTTCTTTCGAAGGACGGAAACGTGGGTCTGGGTCAAAGTGAAGCCAGGGCGCCACAGGGTTAGTCCATGTTTCCATTAGGGCAAGCCATTTCGGGATTAATCGGGGGTGTCGGGATTCATCACTTTTGGAGGGAACACCCCCCGCTTAATCAACCAGGGGTTTATTAATCCTGGGTCAACATTAAGTAGATATTGGGCTGTGGGTCAAGAATAGGTACCTACCCTAAATGGCTTGCCCTGGTAAATGGAACCAAGGACTAAAACCTGCGGTTTTGACCCATACCGGCAACCTCGGATGATCAACCTGGTTGATAAATCGGGGGTGTCCCCTTGTGGGGAGGGGTTTTCACCCCCCGATTAATCAAGCAGGGGTGAAAAGTATCCGGGGTTAACTAAAGTACCTAGACTCTCCATGACCCTTTAAACATGGGGTCATTGCCCAAAATTACGGGGTCATGACCCCTTTTTCTAGGGGTCATGGAGACTCTAGATAGATCTTGGGCCGGGCCACCTTTGGTTCACAGGGATGTTCCGCCAGGAGGAGGTGCTGCGTGGCGCCAGTGCTGCGTTGGCCCAGAAGCCCCCGATCTTCCTCGACATCCACGAGGAGATGCTGCGCAGGGCTGGCACCAGCCCGGCGGCGGTATGGGACTTGATCAGCGGCTACGGGTATCAACAGCTCGCGGACTACTCAGAGCTACACTGCCTGCATGTTGGCTTAGGCCAGGGTTGTGGTTGATCACTCGGAATTGGTTTCTCCCACCACTTCTGTGATACTTTTGGGGGGAATCCCCCTGAATAATGAAGAAAATAGTCTTTGGGGTTAGGCGCTTTCTGTTGTATCACAGAAGTGGATTCCATTCCCCACAGCCCTGGGCTTAGGCCGATGGGAGGATTTCAGATGGCAAGGACCGGACCTGGAGATTTTGTCGACCGTAGCCCTGCCTCATGATGCGGACGCGTGTGCTTGCCACTTCTCATGCGCCGAGCAGATGCCGCGTGGCTGCCGCTGCTGGGAGTTTGGACCCTCCAAGCAGCAGCTTGGCGTCTCCCTTGCCCTGATGTGTTGAGGGGTTTGGCCCCCACCCTAAACCAACCCTAAACCAACCACAAACCATACCCTTAAACCGATTCTTGCCGGTCATCTGTTGAATTGATGGCCGCTGCTGCTTTTGCCGCGTGAGTCAATGAGCCAGCCTTACGGGGCCAAAGGCGGGGGTCCCGCCCTCTCTCTCTTAAGCCTTGGGGCCCGGTGAGGCGGCCGGGCGTGGTATGGCCTTGCGAGTTTCCTCCGTTTGCAGCTACTCTGGAAGGGCCTCTTGCGTGTTTGTTTTTTTTTGACGGCCTCCTGAAGTGATACTCAGTCCAAAACCAGACCTTCGAACCTTGCCACTTTTGGGCTGAAGGTGAGCCTCCTTTGGTAGTGTGTTTGAGGCTGGCATTGTTTGTACAGAGGGTTCCTTCTCAATGATCCAAAAAGAATGACCCTTTTTCTCGTCGTGTTCGTTTACTACGCTTGCTGCCTGGAAGCAAAGTCCGAGCTTAGACTACGTCGCGCCCACGGCTCTCGCTTGAGGTGCCATCTCTACCGCCGCTGCCCGAGGGGCTGGGCGGAGGAGCGGTGCAAACCGGCCGGGCTTGAGGAGGCGCCCGGCTGGTGGGCCAACGACCTCTTCGGCCGCTGGCTGGTGACGTGAAAAGTCTTTTTCGCTGCGAGCCCAGCAAATTGCAGTGGCGTGCGTGCGTGCGTGCGTGCGTGCGTGCGTGCGTGCGTGCGTGCGTGCGTGCGTGCGTGCGTGCGTGTGTGTGTGTGTGTGGCTTATTTGTAACTTGGTGCTCCAACTGTCGAGTACCTTGGCCACTTTGCACCTTGGATTTTCAACTGCGTTTACAAATGGGTCAATGGAAGGCCGTTGTCTTTGAAGCAGGAGTTGGGGCGATTCCCGTCTTGGGATGGTTGTGCCCATTCAGAAGAAGGTGGCATGTGCCAGTTCTTGCTGCAACCCTGCCAATGCTTGTGACACTTGCAAAGGTATTGTCAAGGCTTTGACTTGTTTTTGGGCTCAGTTTGGCACTCGCCATGTCTGCCCGGCTTACAGCAAACGTAGTTCGATACTGATACATAGCTTGAAGCATCCCTATTTTGCGCAGGCCTGCTTCTTTCGTCATACGCGTGGCGTGCTTGGCCTTGCATGCTCCCCTTTTTTCCGGAGAATCTATGCCAGAGAGCATGACACAAGCGTCACGGGGGTCTGGGCTGACGAGCTTTTTTTTCTTCCCCCGTGCCAGTTCTGTCAGCGACGTCGAGCATGATCGATGCGTTCTACATCTTCACCAAAGGCGCCTCTTATGATGCGCTTCTCACCAAAGCCAAGAAGACTCCCCGTTGCAGAAGGCCCCGGTGCCTGCCACTGCGGCCCCAAAGAGCAATGCTATCCATCGTTCAAGCCTCGAACAGGGCTCCTTAAAAGATACAATTTGCAACCATTTGAGACATGTTGCCTTCTCGACACCAAAATAAAGTTGGAAGCCAGCATTTACAAGTTGCAATCCTGAGGTGTACAATGCATCCGGATCCCTGTTCTAGCAGAGTGGATGCGACGACTCGTAACTCCGACAGGCGGGCTACTTCTGTGGTCCACGCAACTGGTGAAGGCGAGGTGCTTTCATGTAGGATGGATCCGGTTGCTGTGTCACAACCGGATGTCTTTTTGCCGAAGAGTGACAACCAAAGATCTGCAAAGTACCTGAAAACGGACCCACGGACGGTAGGGGCCATGTGCTACTTACATTTCCTAAGGATTTGATGTTGCGCAGTCGAGGAGCCGTTCGATCCAGGTCAAAGGGAACCCGCTCGACCGCTTGATCAAGGAGGTGCTGCTTGAGGACCTGTCGCAGACCGGACTTCCACACTGGCACTAGAAGCCAAGAAGAAGCTCGCACGGTTTCGAGATTGCCAAGACGCATTGCCAAGGCGCCATTAGGCGGCCCCGACCAGTTTGGCCGTGCGCGCTCTTGTGAGGTTTTCTTTTTCCTCCCCAGCGCCTGAATTCATGTGCAAGAACAGAATTCTTGAAGCCAGGGGAGGGATGATGTGTTTTGTTTTGAGTTTTGAGGGGTAAAAAACACTAATTGTAGAGGTATGACACAGGCCTTTGAAGCTTTGGGGAAATCATCCAACAGGAAGCTTCTCACACTTGACCAGTCGCTCGAATCGGCCTGCTCCAAGCTTTTGGATTCTTTCCTGCGCATCCCCCCCGCTGAAATCGGCACGCCGGGGGGTGCACATCTCCCTTACCAGCATGTGGCCATGGGGCAAAAGCCAAATCGCACCCCCAGTGAACATCCCAATTTAACCACTAAAACAGGTTCTAGCATGGGGGGTGCTTTTTGTACCCCAAAATGGTTTTGACAACCACAGCCATGTAAAGCGATTCATCCACAGGGTCCACCAGTTTGGCTTCGTTTCATTCTGCGAAGGAAAGGGTTGGCGAGACCTTTGCCACGCTGGACTCGTGCGCCGATGCTTCGACTGAGTCGGAATGCTCCTCGACTTGGACCCAAAAGCCACCACGCAACGCACAAAGGGCACAGGGCCCAGGGCACCTATGGGAGAATCACGTTCACAGGGTCACTAGCCTGGGGGGCAGCAGTCTCACTTTAGTCGCAAGTGGGAGGACTGTGTTAGGGCGTGAAAACAACTTGAACTTTGAATTCGTTGGCAGGTACAACCTCAAGTGGAAGCTGCTGAACGAGATGGACCTGTTTTTTGTGGTGGTTTACCAGGGCATTCTTCAGATTGCTTACCTGGAGGCGCCGGCACCGAGATGTTGAGAGAGGAACTCTTCGCCGGGCGAAAGAAAAAATATATAAAAAAAAGGGGTCAGGATCCAGGAGAAAAAGAGGGCGCAAGATGATGGCTTGCGCAACATGGCCATGGCTTGAAGCAGCCAGTAGTTTTTGCCTATGTTTCTTCCTGAGGCACTGGCACTCCATACCAAGCGGCGCTCAGCCGCCCTTTCCGCGGGCTTTTTTTGGTGGCATCCACGTTCCGGACCATGGCCCGAAACATTCTGGTGGCCCAATTGGCCTCCACCAAAGCTTTGGCCCCTTTTCCAGGGGTTGATTCCTTTTCCTTATTCTTTTCAAGCATCGTTCTTCCAAGCACCGGATCCGTTTCCATGGGGTTTTTGGATGGCTTCCTGAAAAGATCCGGATTTTTCGGGAAAGAATGGACATGGAAGGCACCCCCTAGGAGTTGGGCCCCTGCCTCTCCCAAGCCCCACGGGAAACTCGAAACTCCTCGCATGGGTCAGGGCTTGCTCACCATGGTGGCCAAGGAGTTTGTGCACCACCGCAGGGTCCCTGGCCAGGAACTGGAGTCAGCCGTCTTGCAGCAGCTCAGTTTTTGAGTCACATTCGGGAAGATCACAGCTGTTGCAGTTGGATTTGAGTAGATGGCACCATTCTCCTTCCCCACACAGAAGTGTGCTATCTACATTCACTCCGTTTCGATGGAGATTTGAGGATTAGGAAGCCAGTATGTTGGAGCTACAAAATTGTCAGTTTCCGTCGAAAGGCTGCTGTGGACTCATTTTGCCAACAGACACGACTTCGGGCTTGGTACGACCCATGTGCGACCACGTGCGAGCATGGGCTTTTCTTGCAGCCAGTTGGGAACGGCTTTGGTGCTGGCATGACCATCAAGCACGTGGAGTTCGACCAGGAGAACGTTCCCTTGGAGTTTGGTTTCCTGTGAGTCAGTCGGACAGACAATTTCTGGCTTAAGGCTTCCCTTTTTAAGGCACCGACCCCTTCCCTTCCCGATGGGCCGCAAAAGGACACTGACGGATTCCTTTTTTTTTCCTCGTTCCCGTTTTGGCGGGCGGGTCTCGCAAAAAGGGCTCACTGGCACCCCAAACCAAACAGGGGGTTGGAGGGAGTCGCTCTGTCAACATGCCGAGAGTCGATGCGGCCGAGAGTCCGTGCCGTGGAGCGGACGTCTGCAGGACTTCTTGCGCTGCCGACAGAAGGCGGATAAGGAATTGAAGGACTCCCGGCGGCAAGGCGCGGGATTGGAGCTGATTCGGTGCCTAGGTTAAATATGTGGCTGTGGTGGTCAAAACCGTTTTGGTTGATCCCATTTTGGGGTAGGTGAATTCACCACCCATCTTAGAGCCTATTTTAGTGGGGATTGGGACATTTCACTGGGGGTACGGGCTTTTGACCCATGGCATGTGTGGTCAGCCAACACACTTCGCTGGTGAGGTTCGTGGATTAGCTTTCCATTGCTTGCCAAACACCATTTCAAACCTTGAACTGACGATTTCTCCGAGGCCACTTAAGCGAGTCTAGTCAAACAAACAATCGGATTTTCACTTTAAAGGGGGAGACCCGCAAAAACGGCTTCCTCTTCGTTTTTTGTTTTGGCATCCTTTGAGAGGGCTGCATGGAGCGCGATAGGTGGCATGCGCAGCTTCGAAAATACCAAGAAGGGCGCGGATGTGCAGAAGAACCGCGAGGAGTCGCCCGACGTCCTGACGTCCTAACGTCTGACAGCCAGCAGTCGGCCGCAATCAACATCGGTTTGTAGAGGACCCCAGTGAAATTTCCCAATCCCCACTAAAATAGGCTCTAAGATGGGTGGTGAATTCACCTACCAACCAAAATGGGATCCCAAAACGGTTTTGACAACCACCCACATGCTTGTGGGTAGACCCTTAAAGCTGCCAAGCTTTGATTGGACTTTAGGGAGCTGGGCTTGTGTCAAAGCTATTTCAAACCTGGGATCTCTTCAGTACCTGTGAAGAGGGCACTTGGGCTTTGCAACATGCAGAAGTGGGAAATCTGCAGTTTTGGGTAAGGGAGTTCTGCATGCTAGGCAGCATTGACTTGCAGTGATATCCCATTTGTACTCATTTGTTAGAACCCATTAAGGGTCAGCTTTACAATGTTCGAGCAGCACTATGTCCTCATTTCTGTTTGCAGCTTCCGCAATGTGCGAACATCCACCGTCCTACTTTTCTGGCGGCTGACAATTGTTGTCAGTGCTTCTCCAGAACAGCCTGATTAGGTGAGGGCTGTCAGTTCAATCTCCAAATACAAGGATTTTACAGTGTGGTCTAACTCCTTCATATGCTGTCCCTTCCTCACGGTCTATCTCTTACTGTCCTTTCACTTCCTCATTCCTCCGTCACTCACGGTCTATCTCCAAGAACTTGAATATTATGGACACAGAGTGTGCGAGAACGAAGGGAGAGGAACCGAGCCCAGAGGCAGGAGTAGATGGAAAGTGATATGCCGGCTCTTAGTCCTTCCCTGGCGGTCTTTTCTGTAGGTCCTTTTCATCCATCATTATCAACTTCTGGGACCTACAGCAGGGAAAGGCCTTTATCTATATCTCTCTTTCCATATCTCTCCATAATATATTTCCTGTAGACCTAACATGCCTTTCTCCTGCCTTCATTTGTAGGACCTTTTCATTATTGCCTCAGAGTCTATTCCTTGGTGAAGAGCGGGGGCAAGCCCTTGAATTAAGATCTTATTATCTGATATCTGTTTGCTTTTACATGTCTTTTATCTTCTTCTTTACAATTATCTTCATTCATTTTCTATCTTTTGGTTACATTCTGGTTCTTAGGTAAGTTGTAAAAGCAAAAGGAATGAAGATAATGGGGATAAAGGCCTTCTTCTCTCACAGCATCATTCTAGTTCTCGTTTATAAGCTGTGGAAGGCCTTTCATCTCACTTATAACTCACTTTCCATTCCTTTCCATTTCCTTTCTTTTCCTATCATCACAGATTCATTCTGGAGAAGCCTCTATCCCTTCTATCTGTTCTCTCTGTATCTTCGTCTATCACTTCAAGAGCTTGGGAGCGAACCCAGAGAGCGAGGGCAAGCCTTTTTCCTTACCATTCTATATTCTGGAAATCCTTGAATTGTAGGTCATCCACCGTTTCCTTCCATGGCATTCATTTGCTGAATTTAGCTGTTACGACGAAGGCGAGAGCCAAGAAGGGGAAAGAAAGACCAAGGAAAGCTATAGAAGAAGACAAACAATAAAGGAAAAGATAAAATGCTTCTAAGATCCACGTCTTTATCCACTTCTTAGGATTGTATATTTGGATTTGTAAAAGCATTCTATTCCTATCTTTTATCTCTCTTTCTTTATCATTCTTCTCTTTTGTTTTCATTATCTATTTTATCATGTTATTTTACTATCTTATAATTAAGGAAAGATTATGAATGAAAAAGAAAGAAGAAAACCAATAAACAAAAGAGAGATAATGAAAGAGAAAAGCCAAGGGATGGATAATGGGTCACTGACCGCTAATTCTCAAGGTCTTGTCCTAAAGGCTTTTTATCTTAGTTCCTGATGAATCTCTGTCAATAACTTGTAAATAAAGAAAAGGAAAGGAATAGAAAAGCTTGTAAATGGGATTAAGATCTGAGATTTCCTATGTCTTTCCTATGCTCTATTCTCTGAGATCAATAACTTCTAAATTCAGAATTATTTTGTAAAAGAAAGAGACAATTTCCATTCCCCTATCAGGTTCTAAATTGCTCATCATTTCCGTTGTGGGGGGAAGAACTTTGTTTTCAGGTGGGTTAGTAGAGGGAAGCAGTGATTCTTGTCCACCGCATTTTGACACCTCTCCATGTTTGTTTTTTGTCTCACCCTGGGGTCAAACAAGTTCCAGGAGAAAGGCTTGCCAGCCAAGAAAAGCTGGCGCCTCAGGTCAGCCAGATGTTCGGGCGCGATGTGAGCTGACTCTGCGCGTTTCGATGTCCCCGTCGGCTTGGTGAGGCAAAAGCGGTGCAGATGGAGAAAAGGACGACGAGGATGAGGCGCGGTTGAGCCGGCGAATGCCAACTGCCAAATGCAGCATTTTTTTCGCCCACTCGTCAGGCTTCGTCCGACCTTTGGTTTTCTTCGACTTTTTTCTTGGGGCTGGTGTTGGGGCTGGTGTTCCGACCTTTTTTCAGGTTCTTGGGGCTGGTGCTCCTTGACCTCTTTTTTCTTCTTCTTTTTCTTTCGACTTGCTGCATGGGTCATGGGCAGCAAGTCGAAATCTTTCTATGGCGGAGCTTCGTCGCGCAGGAGGATGCTGCAGCCAAAGTCGCGGAGGCCCTGGCCAATGGTTTCGCAGTCTTCAGAAGTCCACTTGAGCCACAATCAAAACCCGGGTAGATGAAGGTTAGTAAGGGGCAGTCCCAGCCGGGAATAGTTGCGGAATTCCGCCTTTCTAATTCTTGAAGCATGGTTCTGGGTTCGCACCATTTTTGTACCGATCGGTTTTGAGCAAGTGACTCACCTGGCTTGTTTGTTTTTCTTTCGGGGGACCCCACAAATGGAATTAAGTTCCTTTTGGCTTCCAGCTAAAAAAAAGAACCACCCAGAATGGCTACCTTCAGAACTACTCCCCCAATTTGTTTCTAGGTTTTCTGATCTTGTGAAAGGGGTGTCTTGTGCCTGGCTTTGTTTTCCTCCGTGGGATTGCTTGTTTCAGAAGCCGCCCTTTGGGCTTTTGCTTGTGCGCTCTTCCTTGTTACTTTCATCACCAAGCTGTTCAGCTCACATCTGCTTGAGAGGCATTCATGTTCAGTAGAAAGACTCCTTGCATGATATGGCTGTGGCTCGAAAAACCGGTACCAAATGGAACCCTGGTAAGTGGAAACATGGACCGAAACCTGCGTAACCGTTTAATTTTGAGCCACAGCCATATGCTTGTTGATGTTGGTCAAACTGGCTGGAAGGAGCTAGCTATTCACTTTCAGCATTCTGGCGTTTCAATGTTCTGGCTCCAAGAATGAATGGCGTAAGAGGACAGGCTGAGAGTGAGCAATTGGGACTTGGAGTGAGCTATTCCGCTTATTTGGTTGGACAGTGTATGCAAGGGAGTGAGTATGTATGTAGAGTTTTGTGGTCAATTTGGATGTGTAGAATATATGGGCGGGTGCTTTTTCGAAGGTACCCTTTTGGCGTTGGTTTAAACAGAATCTAAACGGAAGTCTATCCTTTGTTGGGTCACTATTTCGAGGCATATGTACATATGTATATATATATATATGTATCTATATTATGATGTTGCACATTTATACTTATATTATTCCCTCAGTGCTCATTTCGTGGCCCACAAAAGACTGTGTACAAAGCTATCCGTTGAGAATGTCTGCAGGAGACAAACAATCTCTTGGACACAGACAAGACATAAAGAATTGCAGGGCAGCCTAAGACTGCAGCAAGCACGTAGCAGGAAAGTGTAAGGAATTCTTTCATGCAGGTTCTGGGGGCATTTACAAGAAGAGAGGCGACTAAGACACAGAACCATTGCGGCATGCCCAGAACATTTTGCTTCGTGGTTCGGCGAAGCAACTTCGACAAACAAGTCACTGCGCCCTTGAACATTCATATATGAGTATCAATTTGCGAAGTCAAAAGCAAAGGCATCCCGTTAATTCAAATACCCCACGCATCGCGGGGTCTCAGTGCCGGCCATGCCAGGCCCGGGCTAAGCCGTCCAAGGTGAAAGCCAAAGATGCCCGATGGCCCAAATGACTGGAGCCGGCGATGGGGCGATGGACATTTTGGGTGTGACTTTTTTCCCATTGACACGGTGCAAAGGAAAGCCCCCCTCCCCTCTCTCTCTCTCTCTCTCTCTCTCTCTCTCTCTCTGCAAAGCAAAGTTAATCTGCGGCGCCGTTCTGTTTCTGTGGAGTAGCCTCCCAAGAGCGGGGAGGCTCCTCTTTCCAAGACACGGGACAGAATTTTCGCCACAGGGCGGGGAACTTTTCTTGGAGAGCGAGCTGCTGAGGCGGAACCACCCAAGCCCAAGAAGGGCAAGGAGGCGGGATCCTGCGCGTCCGGTTGGGGCTTCGCCTAGCGTGGGATCACGATGGGAAGAGGTGCAGCCCGGATTGGAGGTGACAAAGCGTTTTGATTCTGGGATTCCATTCTGGGGGAACTTCAGGGAGCCGTTGATTTTTTTTTCTTTTTTCTTTTTCTTTCTTTTCTTTTTCTTCAAAGCCATCAGAATCCAGGTCCTGCTTTTTTCAGTTAAGACCATAGCACAGAGACCTTGTTTTCTGGAGCCTGGGACCGCGGCAGGCGAGGCACTGGGATGGCGGCAAGGCGTCCAAGAGCCTGATGCAGGACCTGGCAGGTTTTTTGTGAGCTGAAAAGCCAACCGAGCCACAATCAAAACCCGGGTAGATGAAGGTTAGTAAGGGACGATCCCAAGCATAAATAGCTGCGGCCACCTTCTTAATTCTTTACATGGTTCTGGGTGCACCATTTTTTGTACCGGGTTTGGATTGCGACTCAACTGGAGCTGGAGCAAGTTCCAACGCTCTTATGGGTTGGGCGCCTTTCTTCCTCGGGTTTGTGTTTGAGCCTCTGGCAACTACCTTGGCGCGTCGTCCTTGGTGGATGCTTCCGGGCGTGGCATAATCTAGATCATCCGATCCGACGCAGGAGTTGGACTTTTCCAAGAACCAGCTGGACGAGGCGGACTTGGCTGCAAAGCAGGCCCTTCAGAGGGTTTCGGACGCGGCCAGATGCTTGGGGGTCTTTCGGCTTCTCTCTGGGTTTAACATCAACACCAGCACTAAAAGGAGTACCCGAAGAAAAAGCCGCGGTTTGTAGCACTTCGACTTATCAAGTGCCCCCTCTGAAGAGGGGAATTCCCTGCAAGAAGCCCCAGGGAGTTCGAATTCGCATGTTTAGAGGAGCCGTTGGCCGGGCTCTTCTTGGCGTTCCATTGGCGAAACGACGTGAAACCATGGCATTTTTTTTGGATCAGAATTGGAGAACCCGTGGAAGACTCATGGCCGCAGCTCGTGGCTGGGCCGTGCCCTGCGAACGCTCCATCTTGGTGGTTGCGCACGCGTGGCCGATGCTTTTGGGCAACATGAAGTTGGCTTGAGACCGAAGCCGTGGCCATCTCAGCACCTCCGTAGCATGCGCAGGGTAAAAACTCTCGAAATGGCCGGGATACGGATCCGCGGCGTCCGCGGCTTGTTTTTGACGTTGAGAGACGCCTTGCCAGAGGCAGAGTTTCTGGGATCTGGCGATGAGTTCGAAGCAGAGGAGGCCCGGAAATCCGGATCCTTGGGGTGTCTGTCCGACATGCGGGACCCGGGTTTTGGGTTTGAGGCTCGGGTGTAGATGGGTTCTGGTGTTTGGGGGATTGTTTCGGACACGAAAGTCGAGCCCTTCGAAGTGTCGCTATTGCGCGAGTTGCATGCGGACATCCTTGCCCTTGGGATAAACTTTGAGTACGCCCCAACATGAGGGACCCCTCTTTGCCATGGTTGGGAAATGGAGAAGCCAAAGAAGCCGCAAGGTGGCATCATTGTCCTCTGGCTCCGATGAGGACAAGAAAGCCGGCGCCCAAGGGCTTTTGCCAGGCACGTGCAAGTTTGAGGCATGCAAGAGCCCCAACTTTTGAACCCTATTGCTCTTTACCTTTCACTTCGAAGTTGTGCCACAAAAGGGTCCAACAGAAGCGATGCGCGTATTGGACATCTCTCATGTCGCACATGCCGATGTCCTTGACGGTCCGCAGAACAATGCTCTACGGAGCCCCTTTTGAGGGATCGTGGTAATGTAGTTTGCCTGGTCCTCTTCCCGGTTTCAGCAGTAGGTCAAGCATTTCGCTAAAAGGAAGCCAACCAGGTTTGGTTGCCAGAATACGGGTGTCCAACTCATAGAACCCCCATTCTGGGTAGGTGAAGTAGGGGACAACCCCTTAATTGCGAAGACACCGCTTTTTGGCAGAGCCTTGGACCAAAACCGCTTTCCATCATGACTCGCCTCTCGCCCTAAGGAAGAGACGGGTCGCGTGGGCGGCTTGTTCAAGAGCCTCACGCGACAGGTTAAGGCCTGGGCTGATGGATCGTGCCTTTCAGCAACGGTCTCCGAGTTTCTGTGGGCTCACCCCTTCTCCACCAACACTTTCCCAATGATCCGAGTCGTTTTTTCGAAGAGTCGCTGCGCCTTCCAAGAGATGGTGTGTCCTTTTTTGGGGCGACGCTTCTTGGCGGGTTGTTTATGGGGCGTGTCCGAAAGGAAACGCCGCAAATTGAGTGGTTTTTTACGCGAACACCAGAGCCACCCCGCTGGCACGGCCATAGGTGTCCTTCTTTGCTTGTTTTGCTCGACAAGTAGATGGCAATTCCTGGTTTACCGGGTTTAGGGCAGATCTCCCCTAAAAAGAGGGGACACCCCGCTGGCCCCAAGCTATGAATATTAAAACATCTAGGAACCAGGATTCTCCAGCAGCGGTTTTCCCTTTGGCTTCTCTTTCATCCAAACATGGCCGCCAGAATGTCACCGGCGGGGCCGTGCTCACGGAGGAGGATCTGGAGCCCCAGCCTTGGATGCGGAACGATGCGGCGCGCGTGGGGACCTGCGTTTTTTGGTGGCTTTGTGTGACAGCCGTTTTTGGGGTTGGTCTAAAAGTGGTTTCAAGGAACCAAAAGGAAAGCCACATTTTTTTGTTTTTTTTCTCCGGGGGGTCCGAAGAGTAAAAAAGGGCAAGGCGTTTCTCTCACTCTTGTCCGTTTTTTTTGTTCGGTTGGCTTGACGCGTGGTTTGACGCGTGGGGGTGCCAAGCCTGGGAGCCCGAGGCCGATTTTGAAGAAGTTCAAAACGGAGCTCATGACCAGGCCTGGGGACCCCCGCAGATGGGGGGGTGTTGGGGGGGAGGGTTGGGGTGTTGGGGGGGAGGGTTGGGGTGTTGGGGGGGGGGGGGGGGTGGTTGGGGGGGTTGGGGGGGTTGGGGGGCGGGGGCGTGGGGTTGGGGGGGGGGGAAATTGGGGGTTAAAATATTTGATTATCGGGGCTTGGCTGGTTGATGGGATAGCTATTGGACCCGGCAAACAAGTCTGAAGGCGAGGTGAGGTGCATGAAGTTGGATGGGAATCCTGAGCACGCCGAAAGTGCCAGAGGTCAGACTTCGAGTCTTTCCACGACCCAAAGACACGCCCATGAAGGGGGGGGGAAGGGGATTACCCTCCCACCAATTGGCTTGGAACCTGACAAGGAATCCCTTCAAAGGAAAGTGGTCTTCCAGCGACCTCCTGTCAGGTTCCATGTTAATTGGTGGGAGGCTAGGTGGCCTGATCGGGCTTGTCCGCAGGAATGTTGCTGCCGAAGTGGCGGACAAGTTGTCTGACTCAGAGCCGGGCTTAGCCTTGTGGGATATCCTCGCGTTCTCTCTGTTTTTAATAGGTGGCCCGAATTTCAATCGGATTTGAAAGGGGCACGGATCAGGCGTTGCTAGCACTCGGTGTTTGCTTGTGTGTGTGTGTACAGGATCAGAACCAGTGCATGACAGAAAGATCAAGAAAGTAATATGGACTGCTTGACCACTACTTTGATTTTGGAATCCGAAGTGTGTCCGTTTCGACTTTGGTGTGCCAAGGTGAGGAAGTCCCTTGTTGGTAAGACCACCGGCAGATTTACTTCGATGGCTTCGACAGTGAAACAGGCTCTCAAGGACCGGGAGAGACGTCTGCGACCTGAGAGAGCTTCCTTGGAAGCATTCTTTGCCTGAGACTTGCCAGCCTTGTTCAGGAGTCCATGGAGACGCTGCTGACGCCAAAGAAGTCCATTGACGTTGTGTTCGCCTCAAGATGGATCTTGGGGTTTGCTTTTTTTTTGCAAGAGGCCCCAAAAGTCTTCTCCTTCTAGGTTCTGCCTCGTCTTGAGCGCTGCAAGACTTGGCATCGCAAAAGGGGCAAGGTCAGCGCTGACTTGCTGCCAAGAAGAGTCTGCATCCTTTGGTGCCGCTTGTGTCTTGTGAGTCCGGGGTGGACTCCTTTTGGAGGGCCTCCGCAAATCGAAGGGGCCCCCATCTTCTCCATGGCAAACCCGCGGAGCTCCGCCTCGCCGAGTTGCGCGCCGCATTGGCCGCGAAGAACGCGGGGCGTGCGCGCCTGGCGGGTTGATGGCGGCCCCTTCCGACCCGGGGCTCGGGGCTTTGCGAAGGGACCCGAGGCCTGCGAGCTTAGCGCAGCTTGGGCCAAGGGGCGAGAAGAATGGCCCGCTGTGAGGCATCCCTCAGCAAGTTCCCAGATGCTAGTGCACACCTAAGCCAGTTCAACGTCACCCTTGAGATGCATGACTTGCCTTGTGTGGGGACTTGCTTTCCAGGGAGGGGTCATCGGGCTGTCGGCAAAAACCTTCCCTTTGCTTCCTGAAACGCCCAAGACCGACGTGGCATGCCAGGTGTACACTATTGTTTTCCTGGGAGTCAACGGCGTTGGCAAGTCCACCAACTTGGCCAAGGCCAGTCGGGGCCCGGGGTGCAGGCGGTCGAAGCAGGGGACCTTTCCTTTCCAGGTGGGGAGCCTTCGAGATGGTTGGTTTTTCAGGTCGACTTCCTCAAATGATTTCCCAACGGGGGGTCCCCTAGCTTTGACACATGGCTGTGGTTGTGAAAACCAATGGGATCCCATTGTGGGGTAGGTGAATTCACCACCCATTTTAGAGCCTATTTTAGTCGGGATTGGGATGTTCACTGGGGGTACGGGGTTTTGACCCATGGTCACATGGCATGTCGGTGCAATCACTTGACAGACCTTTCTCGGCGTGCGCACCCTGATGCAGCTGCGCCTCTGCAGGTCGCATACTACCTGAAGCACAAAGGGGGCTTGGATGCAGGCTCCTCAGATTCTTTGGTCACTGCATGTTACCGGTGGAGGATTTGTTCAGACTCCAATCCACCATAGTTTCAACTGGGATGCGTGAAAGAGCACACAGGTGGGAACCCGTTTAGGATTGGTTGGTGGGAGCCAGCATGACATCGACTGCAATTCGACCCGGACAGCCGGACAGCTTTGCGCCAGTTCTTCAAGCCTTTTGGGAGCGTAGCTTGGATCTTCAGGTCCTGATCTGCGCCTGCGACACTTTCCGCGCGGGGGCTGTGGAGCAACTGAAGACCCATTCCAGGCTGGGGCTTGCTGGCTGGGGTGATGTGGGTGGTGGGGGTGGTTAGCTGGTTGGTTGGTGGGTTGCTTGGTTGGTTGGTTGGTTGGCTGGCTGGCTGGCTGGCTGGCTGGCCGGTTGGTTGGTTGCTTGTAATCCTAGCGATTTGCTGTCTCCTTGCTTCTGCAGGTGTTTGGACGTGCCGCTCTTTGAGCGTGGCTACGGCAAGGACAGGCTCGCTCCTGACATGGTGAGCGCCAAGACCAACAAGCTATCCGTGTTGCAGTAGAGGCTATTGCTGATTTGTAGAGGATCCTGTGCAACCCCCCACCGGCTCGGGGTGTTGTTCCCGAGCCAGCAAGGGTAACGTTGACTTCCATGAAGCGATTTTGGGAGATGGCAGCTTTTTCAGTAGCTTACTCACCTTTCAGTAGCTATCTCACCCTCGCTTTCAGCGGGTCGAAGTGAGTCTTTGCACAAGGCTCTGACAAGTCATTCGTGCGCTGACGGGTTGGGGGCCCCCAATGACAGTGCAGGATATTGCGCGAGTCAACATAGCAGCCTTTTGGCTCCAAATCATCTAGTCACTTCCAAATGACAGTCCAATAAATAGGTGCAAACCTCAATGTTGCTCCCTGAATTCGAATGTCAGTTGGCGATTCTGTCCAAGTTTCCAGTGGCCTAGGTATGGCCATGATATCTTCGTAGTCTATGATATGAGCTTTTTGCGACCGTGGCAATCTGGGTTCTGGCTTTCCAGGGAAACCAAGCCTCCATGTCGAATTTGTGATCCAAGGGATGGTCATCAAGCGGAAATCTTGGAGAACCAATGCTACTGGGTTCTTGTCATTGGCTGAAAGCACCATTACTATGATCCAAGTTTGGTTTCGTTGTCATCCCTTACGGACTCACAGAAACAGAAAGGGATTCGTGCCATCTACTTCCCTGAGATGCGTCCTAGGACCCGGCGGAGATCGCCAAGAGCGCCATCGCGCATGCGAGATCCAGCGGCGGGGGGCCTCGCAGCTCGTTTCGTCGCCCAAATAAGCCGGGCCAATCTTGATTCTAAGAGTTTTTCATATCTCCGGGATGAAGCCATGTCATTTTGGCCATTTTGGGCCATTTGCCAAGGGTGCAA